GTATAGCTGCATTTTGGGGGCCAAAACCAGTAAATTATTTTCTAAAGGCTTTGTATGAGTGTGAAGTTGCCAGGCAACAACAGACATCAACACAATTTTGTTGTCTTTTGTGAAAGCCAGGAAAGCTGTCTTATTCCAATTTTGAAATACAACAAGACACTGGACTGCTACAAATATGCAACATACTAAACAAGATACAGCAAGAAATGTATTTCAAAGAGACATGGAAGAACAGGTTAAGCGATATAACTGGCTATGTAAGAAAACTGCAAGTGTGCAAGAGAAGAAAAAATTGTTATCAGTACAAAGTTACAAATAAACTCAACAAATCAGAAAATATGAGTGACAACAATAATAAATGGAAAGTATAAAATAATATTTGAGGTTCTTTTTTTATATGCTATACCTGTAGTCATTTAAAAATGTAGTGAAAAGACCGCATTATGTGATGACTGAGATTTATCCTGAGAAACCAAAGAAAGACTGAGATATTAGCTAGCAATATATATATATAGCCCAATATATATATATATATTATATATATATATATATATATATATATATATATATATATATATATATATATATCACAAAATAAGTTTCTCTCAAAAGACGTATCAGAAAGGGACAATATTTGTTTAAATCAAAAGTCGCTAGCCAATCATGTAAGTGGAATTAAGTGATGGAGAGTTAGGTTGACACACACAGCACAGCAGTAGCAGGCAAATGCACAAATGGATAATGACTGTGCAGCTGTTGCCTCTTACTGTAGGTAACAGGTAGACAAGACAACACAGCGATAATTGTTGCTAAGGACCCAAAAAAATTCAGCCATGTGGACGCATTTTGACCATTTAAAGTCAGACATAAAAAGTAGTATACATCGCAAATTATGTTGAACACATGTTCAAAATAAGTTCCATCTGTTTTACCACCTGAACCAGTGGCACCTGCTGGACCACGCACAATGTAAAGCTTTGCAATCTGAGACGAAAGCAAGTGCTAAACCCCCCTATGCCGAAAACAATGAATGTACAGCATAATATCTGACCCAGGCCAACGCGGAGATTGGCAGCACTGAGACAGCACTCTCCTAATTGGATTTTTTTCTTTTTTTTGAGCAAACACAATGTCTATTTTATTTATTTGATTTTTGTCTTTGAAAGTTGCTGGAGTTTGCACAGAGGATAGAAACAACTGAAGCTTCTTTTCTTTCTCAATATAGACAATTGCTATTTTATTGCTTTGAATTTTTCCCTGCTGCTTTAAAATAGCTGCTTTAAAATAATTTATTTCAATATTAGCGCACACCACAAATAATATTCTTTACATGTCTGTTTTTTTTACAAAATCAGAATCTGTATTTTGTTTAAATGAACTTTCAAAATGAAAAAGTTAATAAAATGTTTAAATATAAAAAATAAAGAAAACGTGTTTCTTAAAACTCTATTATTTATTTTTCCTCTGCAGAGAACATGACCTCCAACACTATTTTTTACAACACCACTATTTAATTTTCCATTACATTAAATGTCAAGCAAACTGGTGTTCTAGGATATCTGATCCTTATGACTAAAAAAAAAAAACATATTGTTTTCAAAGTTTGTTATCCATATTATGATATAACTTTCTTTATCCCCTGCCTTCTGCTTAAATGTAGTTTTAAAGAAAAAACCCTAAAACATTAATATATGCCTGAGCAGTATATTGGTCTGTTGAGAATTTCTTTCTGAGGTTCAGGATCCGTTTCAGTCACTAAATCTCATTTAAAAGAAGGTCAGGAGTCTCAGCACCAATCTTCAGTTTTTAATACATTCTGATCAATTCATTCTGATCAATTCAGGTCAATTGTGATGGGTTAGGGTTAGCTAAATCATCAAGTATCCAAGGCCACATTTCTTAAAATCCTGTTCCAGACCGTACTCTTCATTATTAATCCTAATACTATTCATTCAACAAGTAATTCTACATTTCCGCTCTGAACTTGGGGGCACACAAGTTCAGGGCTCGGAGTATTTGATAAATAAATTATATAAATTACGCAAGATTTTGTTAAAAGTACCACACCACACAATTCCTTGACTTGACTGAACAGTGGTTTGCCTTACCCATTTTATCATCCTCATCAGTTTTTACTAATCATAAGATCGTTCTTGTGAAAAAACTTGCCAATATTTGCATATTTACCTGTATGCTTCCATACATATATACAAAAGAGAGCTTTTCTCTTTTCCTTTTCCACACCAGTCTTTCGCTTTTTACTTTCCATCTTTTAAGCAGCACTGACTAAGAACATTGGCCTGTGCCAGTAACTTTATGCTCTACATTGCTTCAGTATGGCCATGGATTAAGTTTCTGTTGATGTGGCAACGTAATGTAACCCAATGCTACGCCTGTACATAAATAAAATATATTTTAAAAAGATAAAACTGTCACTTGTGGCCCTAAATTCAGACCAGCCCACTGGGAATTTCACCAGTCCTTCTGATTAGTTAATCTGCGCCTCACTGAGAATATAAATAATTGCTTTTTACATTTTTTTTTCACTGCTCATTTAAAAAAAAAAAAAAAGCTTTATTAAAAATAGCTATAGAAAGTAGAACTTTTGAGAATCTATATTCCAAACCTATTTTTTTTCTCACATCAGCAAAGAAATTGTCAATTTTTGTTCTCCTGTAATGCTTGAAGTTTTAGAACAAATATACCTGTTTTATTTGCCCCAAAGAAGTTTCAAATTTTGATGACAAGTTCAACTTTTATAAATAATTGTTTAAAATCAGAAATAACCTTCAGATGTCTTCAATTCTCACTTAATCATAGAGAACAACAAAGACTTACAATAAAAGGGTTTTCTTTAATATTTTGATATCAGTATTGTCTAATAAGAAACTATTTTATTGTGATAGTATTGTTTTTTCCCTTATAGCCCAGCTCAATTACCAATTTTCACTTTTCTAAAGTGAAACTCAAGCCTCTTATCTAGTTCTCCCTCTCCTTGCAGGACTTCCATTGTAAAAAAAGCAATGAAGAAATATAATGCTTGTGGCAACACACTCTGAAAGTACATCACACATTGACTCTAACAGCTTGTTGATATGACATTGTCATGTTCTACATGTTTCTTAAAAAGAAATATGGAGTTACCTTAGGAAAGTAAGTTACCTTAGTTCCCTCAGTTAAAGTAACTGCAATGACTGATATTTCTTTTTCCCTAAAAACACACACTTTGGGAACTTTATGTGTGTGTATGGTTGTTGGTCCTGTATGGATTTGTGTTGCCTTGGGACAGACTGGCAAACTGTCCAGGGTGTACCCTGCCTCCCTCCCAATGACTGCTGGAAAAAGGCTCTTATAAACAATAGATGGATAGATGGAAAAAAGTCCAAAGATGAAAAAATGGCAACACCTTGTGGACTGCAAGTAAGATGATAAAACAAGTATCATGGGATTAATTAAATGTGTATGGCAGTTTAGATAAAGATGAGGGTGAAGATATTGTAAAAAAAATATATGTATTGTTCCAACTAAAAGCTACTGATCTTAATGTCCATAAAACAAAAGAAGAAAACTTTGTGTAAAAACTGCTTTCAATCACATATATTAGGAACAAAGTATGCAAAAAAGGGGAAAATCCTAGGTGAAATATTAGGATGCTTCTGTTCTGAAACAATATGTTGTTATTCCAGATATTATAATACTGCCTCTCAGTGTTGTCTTACAGTTACACCTGCACATAAATGTCACAGTCACTTAACAGTTTAAGCTGTTTGAAATCACTGTGATTGCACTGTTGAGGTGCACTAATCCTAAGTACAGGCAGAACACAGCACCTGTGTGCACTTCATTATTCTCTCAGCAAAGAGTCTACTATGCGTAATTTTTAACATTGTAGAAAGATCCACTGAACAATTTCCAATATGGATCAGAAGCATCATAAAACTTTAAAACAAGTGCACCCCAACAACAGGTTAACAAATGAGGCTGGCTGGTCTAGTGGTGCTTTTTTGTGGACAGGAGTGAACTCTCCTCTGAAGTCCTTCAAAGAACACAGTGCATTTACACAGCACACTGTAAATGAACTCCACTGGAATTAGAGGAACCCTGAGTTTCTTTTTCTTTTCTTTTTTTTAAATAGGACAAAGTGCTTCTGAATGCTTGCAGATAAAGCATCCTCTAAGATGAGTATCAGAATGCCAGGGGCAAGACGCTTCTGTCAAAAACCAAAACAGAGCAGGCAATTTAAGGGACATGTTTAAATTTCTGACCGCACAGGAAGAAGCTTAGAGCGTTTCATTCTCCTGTCAAAAAGAGACGGTTTTTATCACTCTGTAAACTACGGCTTTTATTTGCTACTTTATACCAATTAAAACATAAACGTCACGTTCCCTCCTCTGATAAAACATACCATCGGTTATACACACGCGACACAGAAGCAGCACTACTCAGCGCACATCGAGCTGGCAGATGCTCATAATGCAGCACTTTAAATGCCTTTCAGGACAACTTTCAAATCTGTTGAGCTCAATCTGGTGTTTACAAGGCACATCACAGAGTGTGCTTCTGCATTCATTTCTTTAGTTGCACCATTTTCAAAAGTAGGTGCTGTCATGCGTGCTGGTTGTGATAGTGCAGATGTATCAAGTCTTGAACATATAATCAGGCCTGCCGCCGCCGCTTTACTTGCGTTTTCTTCAAGCGCATCGACCTCGCTCCTCTCCAGCCTGAGCTGAATCCGACCATTATTCATTGATTTCGCTCATTCAACACTCGCTTGGCGCTGATGGCAGGGAAAGTTGGCATGAGGAAAGCGTGGCACCGATCGCCTCCATCCGGCTGTCCGGTTCATAGCCAGTTAGAAGCCATGTTTCACTTGCACATATGAAAACCCTCAACTCTTTTGACAGTTTCACTATTGTTAAAAGCCCAAGCACAGATAGGAGGGACGCGAAAGGCTCCCGCTGTGAGAGAGCGAGAAAAAGATATGACAGGGTCAGACTTACCGACGGCTAAATCCAGCAGATCTGCGCACAGGAGCAAGCACAACGAGAAGACGGTCATCTTTCCCTTATTTTGCAATAAATCCCAAACTCCATCTGCGTTTACATGCTCTCCTGGTTTCGGCCGTGTAATCCCGAGCATTCCAGAGGTATACAATGGAAAGACGTCCCCAAACTATTCATGATGCAGCTCAAGTCTAAGTGGAGAAATCGGAGAAGTTGACAAAGGATGCAGCATTCAGAGCCAAGAACACCGAGCATCAAAATTTAAAAAAAAATTGTCTCACCACATCCGTTTATAAACAAGCGGAGCGGGTTTTTCCCCTGTCTGTTCTAAGAGATTAAACAATAGGGAACTGAGCTGAGCCACAAAGCGATAGGCTGTGGAAAAACAGAGGTTTGGATGAAAACGTGTGCCTCTCTCCTCTCCCTCTCTCGCTTTCTCTCCTCCCGCCCTCCAGACAGGCGCACAGTCATTCCTGATCACTCGTTCGTTTATTTCACACAATTTTTCTTAATCCTCCCCTGGATTCAGACCCTTCTAATTCTGTCCATTAAGCCGATTTATTTCCGTTGGAGGTTTTTTTCCCAATAAAAACAACAAATACTATCCTTATATACTGGCACACCGCAGCCATATAGCTGAAATTATAATGACACAATTGCGTGCGTAAAGAAGTCCCCAGCTGTGCGCTTGTCATCCCTTGAAAACATTTTCAATTGTTGTTTTATTAATATATTCAAAGAATGTCAAAAGAAAAGCTAATGTCGAAATATAAAAGGTGATTTAAAGCAGGATCGCTTGGCTTTATTGCTCTTCGTAAGAGCTATTAAATCGAGTAACCTCAATTTGATCTGCAATCTCATGTTAAGGTAACTAGTAAGTCACAATAACACAAACCAGTGAGATAAAACAAGCCCCAGGAATGTCTTGTTGAAAGAATATTATGGCTATTAAAACTTATTTAAACTTCATAATTAGCCTTTATGTTTAATGGTCCAAATGAGGTTAATGAAGGCTAGTCATCCAGTTTAAATTGGCTGCAGTGATTTATTTGATTAAAGAACACCATCCTCAAGCAACAAGTGTGGATTCCACAAATTCAATTTCATTCTTATTTTTAATCTCTTGATATTTTTGCAATATGTTGTAATGCTGTTTATGTCCAGTATTTTAAAAAGATGAAAAGCCTCACCCACGCTTTTTTTGTTTTGTTTTGTTTTTTAAATCAGACATGGTGTGGCTCCACTGTGTTTTCTGGATTATAAAGGCAGCGCAGCCATCTTTCCTGAAAGCTTAGAGTTCACATTTTCACCTGTCAGACTTGGCAGACGTGTACCACTGCCAAATGTGCCAACACCTGTTTAAGTGATCATGGCATCACTTGATTGCCCAACAAACACATCTGACCTAAACCACATAAACTATGAGGTATTAAAAAGGCACGTTTTTCAAGCTTCCACATTAGAGAGCATCCAGGCCCTGCGACTCTTCCACTCAGTTCCGTCAGACTAACCAGCAGCAATTAGTGATTGCTAATTAAATTGACTGAAAATGCAAACATAAATTAAAAACTGGAGCCCATATTTTTGTATAATTTTGAAGAGGTTGACTTAAAAATTGAGCTATTACTGTTCCAGATTAATTTTCTAAACTATAGAAAAGTTATTGTTAGAGATGTTCAAATATTAAAAATTGGGATGATGTAGATATCTAATACTACCATTATGGCATTATTTGCCAGTATTTTATTTTATTGTTTTTTATTTGATCATTTTTGGTAATATTTCATTACTAAAATAATCATTTACAACAGGCTAACTTTACCCAAAGCGTTGTTCATCATATTGCTTGACTGGCTAAAAAAATTCAGTCACACTGTAGCTGTTGGCTGTAAATAAAAGAAAAACATGAGGTGAGTCTGGAACACTTCCAACATGAAAAAGAAGGAGAATGGAGCAGGAAAGAGATGAACTACAAATTCTGCAGGACGCACAGCTGTGCTCTCAACATTGGTCTCCATAAGACTTTGAGTCATGTTAGCCAAATTGATGAAGGTTCTAAAACGTGATCGTTAGCCGGCAAGCTAAAAACCAATGTTGTGCCACAAAACGCCTAAACCCCGCCCTCGGCTCGCGAGCGAAAGACGCTGGAAGAAACGTCAGACTAGCAACGCTGGAATCACTTCCTGCCGCCGGTAGCGATTGTGAAATCACGGACCTTTAACTGGTTTTACCGAACTGAAGACTGGATCAGACACAGCACGTCAACTACTTACCGGGTGTCACAGTCCGAGCTGAGGTACACGTCATTCATTGTTTCATTTATGAAACAGAAGGTGGCAGCACCGCAGCAGCATAAATATCTAAAATCAACTCTTTCCTCTTCCTCCGTTTGGTCCTACTCAAAGTCTTTACCCCTTGTGATGTGAAAACTACATTACCTCCGATTCAAATTGAAAAGGTTTAAAGTTACTCTGTCGTTTTCGTTTGACGGAGCATACAAGCATACATTATTTACCCATAATGCATTGCAGCATAAGCAACATGGCGACGTCTTTCACAGTATTTTATGTAAATTTGTAAAACCAAAATAGCCTGCAGTATTTTTACTGTATTGTTTTGGCATCTAAAATAAATATTTCTGAAACAACAAAAATGGTACAACTAACCGCAGAACCCTTTAAGCCATATTTTCTATATAGCATTTTATGACGATAGAATGTAACTCAGTACTTTGACTGTCCTATAAAATGATACCAGGTGGCTGGAAAACACAACACATTAAGATTAAATCCAATAAAATATGCACATGTATTTTTCTGTCTTTCGGTCATATCTGGTGATTTTGAAGAAAGGGGACTAAAAGTATATTAAAGCCTCTGAGAGCCCTCAAAGTTTGACAGGTGCTTCAGGCTATTTCATACTAATAAGCATGACCTTAACAAGGCCAGCCTTTGTATGCGACACTATTTCTCTCACAATGATGTTGCAGCATCATGAGTCCTTTGTGAGAAGTTAACAAAAAGCTGTCAAAGTCCAGGCCATACGTTTTCAAGATGCCAGCCACCAACATGTTATGTCTCTTTTCAGAATATATATAAATGCTGATGAATAAAGTCATCAGTTTTCCATTTCCTGGAATGCTGACTCAATATATCAAACTATATTCTTGTATTGATTTGCGCTGCACTGAACCAGGGAGACTTTTACTAATACAAGAACTCCAGGAATGTTGTTAACTTGAAGACAGAGGTATGGTGGTCCAAAGAATTTCTTTTCAAGCCTTATCTGTACAGATCAACATCATGATTTGAATAAAGAGTTTCTCATGAAACAACAAGACAGAGAAGTCACCTCCTAATGTATAAATTTAACCTCCTGCAGACCGTAAATGTAGTGTTCTCCCGCAATCCTTATCACCACTGATAAGGTATAGAGGATGCTTTCATGGTAAGGGTCTGCAGTGCTAATCTAGCATCACAAATCTCAAGAGGGCACTGTCAACAACAATTTATTAGGGTAACAGAGCTGAACATGTTTCTGCCCATATGGCATCTAACCCTCTAACACAGGGGGGTCTGTCTTGCAACAGTCCACCTTAGCTTGTCATGAATGTACTTTCCTCTTTGCAGCATAGGTACAAATCAATAAGTCTTTAAGCTTATTTGGACTCCAAGGAATAGAGTAGAAGAAGAAAACTGACAGACCAAATTGTGAGAGTTAATCGAGTCCCTCTCTTTGTACATTTACTTTTCATTAGGAAGTTGCTGCTTTAGATTATTTTGATACAAAAGCAGGAACTTCCCCTCTTCCAAATGTTCATTTATGTGGCTGTTTGTTTAAAATGACCAAGGCACATTAAATTACCCAATTCCATCATATAATCCATTTATTTTAGTTTTTTGAAGATAAATTTGAAAGACAGAAGTATATATATATATATATATATATAAAAATAAAAATTTCCTTCTCACCCGCCGCAGGTGGTTCTTATCCTCTGAGCTCGGGTCCTCTACCAGAGGCCTGGGAGCTTGAGGGTCCTGCGCAGTATATTGGCTGTGCCAAGGACTGCACACTTCTGGACTGAGATATCTGATGTTGTTCCTGGGATCTGTTGTAGCCATTGCTCCAGTTCGGGGGTTACTGCCCGAGGTCCCCGATGACCACAGGCACCACTGTGGTCTTCACCTTCCAGGCCCTCTCCAGTTCTTCCCTGAGGCCCTGGTATTTCTCCAATTTCTCATGCTCCTTTTTCCTGATGTTGCAGTCACTTGGTGTTGCAATGGCTTTCCTCTGTTCTTCATCCACTACGACAATGTCTGGTTGGTTCGTCATTACCACTTTGTCTGTCTGGATCTGGAAGTCCCACAGGATCTTAGCTCTGGCGTTCTCCACCACCTTTGGGGGTGTTTCCCACTTTGATCTCGGGGTTTCATTCTGCACAGATGTTTCTGTACACTATGCCTGCCACTTGGTTATGTATGTATGCTTTCCCTGCCAGTATCTTGCACCCTGCTGTTATGTGCTGGTCTGTCTCAGGGGCTTCCTTGCACAACCTACACCTTGGGTCTTGTCTGGTGTGGTAGATCTGGGCCTCTATTGCTCTGGTGTTTAGGGCCTGTTCCTGGGCGGCCAGGATGAGGGCCTCTGCTGTCCTTGAGTCCAGCTTTTTCCAGCCATTGGTAGGACTTACTGATATCAGCCACTTTGGTTATTTGTTGGTGGTACATCCCATGCAGAGGCTTGTACCTTGAGATTGGCACAATCTCAAGGTACACACACACATATTCATACATACGTGTGTGTGTATATATAATCCAAGCTTCAAAGACAGAATAATGCCACAGGAGTCACGCTCCACTTGAAATAAAAGCCAACAAAAAAGATAGGCTTTTAAGAGTGTTTTTATGTCCAATTTCTGAGCAGTCTTCATATGCATCATTAAGTTGTTCCCCAGAATGGGTCCTGCTACTGCAAAAGGCATGGTCATCCTGTTTGTCAGTGACGTCCAATGACATCTCAGGTCAAGTAGGCAGCTGGAGTTCTTTTTATACAATCAAAAAAAAAAAAAAAAAAAACCTACGAATCATACTTGGAGAATTGGGCACATACTGGACATATTGTTTGCTCATTGATTTGCACATATACATCAATCTTGTTTGATCTCTTCGGCATCAAACAATATAAATATTAATATTGATCCCTAACACTGATTATTAACCACTGCCACATATCACAGCACTGTCTTGGAAAAAGAGCAAGAAAGCACACAGAGAAGGCTGGATCCAACATGCAGTCAATAGAAATATAGTCAACGGACTTGTATGTAAATGTACAATATCTCTTACTCTTATTTGATGCCTTTCACATATTTATCCTCTTGATATCAGCTATTGTACAAATAATTAAAACTAG